TTTCAGATGTTTTTATGGAAAAAAGATAAAATTTCAAAACAAAATAATTTGAGGATAGCAATAGTCAACAAGTTACATGTTTTTATCTTTAAAGTAGTAGCTTAGGGTACAAGATATGGGCATAAAAATTTCTCCAATCAGTACTAGCACAAACCTTCCTTTTTAATGCAAAAACACTAATAGTATAACTGACTCTCATTTCCCTACTACCTTTTCCCCTTTCACCCATCCTAGTTCCTTTTTCCTTTAGAATGATTTCTTCCAATATCACAATATTTATTGTAAATTTTAGAATTTATTCACACTTTCGGTTTCCCACATCAGGGAAACAATGAGATGTTTATACATATAAGTCTGACATTTCATATATGAATACTGAAAGAGTTGCTGGCTCAAACTGAACACTGTAACCAGAAAAGGCTGCAGCTAAACTCCTCCCCCACCCTGCCCCCTATGGATTTGATTGTAATCCTATATCCCCATCCTTAAGGACCTGTGCGCCAATGAGATACCTGTGCATCTCTAATGGTCTTTGGGGCACTGCCCTAAGCTTAGGCTATTTAGATTCCCCCACGCCACGTGTCCGAGAGAGACCTCCAGATTCCAGTGGCCAGTACGCCGGTCTCCTTTCCCGTGTTCCCGGAATAAAGGCCTCTTTTGTCTTATACTCCTCAACTTTTGGAAGCATCTTTTATCCTTTGAAGACAGACCTATCAAATATGATCTCAAATTACATCCATTTACTTATAAAAGTCTCATGTTTATCCTACTCTATGGTTGAGTACTACACCTCTTAAAAAGTAGCACATTTCTGCATTCATTCCTTGGTTAGGAGCATTTAGATTGCTTGCAAGGTTTAACTATTACAAATAGTGCAGCTATAAACATGGCGGCACATATATCTCTGTGATATGCTGTTTTTAATTCTTCTGGGAAGATACCTAGTAGGGGAATTGCTGGGCTGACTCAATCTAACAAAAGAAGTAAATGATTTATATATTGAAAAGTACAGTACTCTGAAAAAGAGATGAAGAGACTATCAGAAAATGTAAGGATAGCTCTTGCTTATGGATAGGAAGAACCAACATAGTGAAAATGGCCATACTCCCAAAGTCATTACATAGACTTAAAGCAATTGAAATATCATTAGCATATCTCATAGAACTAAAATTCATCTGGAACCAGAGGAATCTGGAATATCAAAGGCAATCCTGGGCAGCAAAGGCAAGGCAGGAGGCAACACAATGCTGGGCTTGAAATTACAATACAAAGATAGTGTGATTAAATCAGCATGATAATAGCAAAAAAAGAAGCACCAAACAAAAAAACAAACAAACAAACAAAAAAAACAAAAAACAAAAAAACAAACTCAAACAAATAAGCAAACAAAAGCAGACCTGAGAACCTGTGAAACAGGTTGGAAGACACAGGCACAACTACAAAGGCACCCAGCCACCTTCCAACTGACAAAGGAACCAAACAAGTTCAGTGGAAGAAAGAAGTCTCTTTAAAAAACAGTGCTGGAAAAATTTGCTCTCTACATGCCAAAGATTGTCACTGTGCACTAAATTAAAGTCAAAATGAATCAGAGATCTAAATATTAAAAGAGAAACACTATATCTGGAAGGGAAAGTAGATAGAAATCTTGAAGACACAGATGTAGGTAAAGAGTTCATGAGTAAAACCACATTGCATGGGGAACACTTCAAAAAAATCAACACCTGGGATCTGACCTCATTAAAAAATTTACACAGCAAGAGAAAGCAACAGAATGAAAAGTTAGCCCACAGAACGGGAAACATTTTTAGTCAATTGTCTCTCAGACAAAGGACTTCTGTCTATAAAATTTAAAGAATTGAAAAACCTCAGAGCGCCAAGTTCAAAGACCCAATCCAAAGGTGGACATCTGAGATGAATACACAGTTCTCAGATGAAGATATTCAAATGGCAAATAAATATATGAAAAAAAATGTTCAACACCACTGGGCATTCAATAGATGTAAATTAAAACAACACTGAGATTCCATGTCACCCCTGAAAGAATGACTGTTATCAGAAAACAACTGATATCAAATGATGGACGGGCTGTGCGGAAAAAGGAACCTTTGCCCAGTGCTGGTAGGAGAGTAGACTAGTACAGCTACTATGGAAATTAGTATGGAGATTTCTCAAAAAACTAGGATCAGAGGTCCCATTCTTTAGGTATTTTTAGAGGCATCCTTCCTCAAAGCCTCGAAGAAGAATACCCTATCATAGTATTTTAAGATTAAATTGTTTTTACTCACTTTGGGTAGTGAGTATTCTGTGATATTTTTTCTATTTTTGAATTCTATTTTTGAAACACTTTTGATGGTTTCTTCTCATGTTTGAAGGCAGTTCTAAGCACATGCTATTTATTTGCCTGGTGTAAGATTATGTAAAAGTGATATTAGACTCGGCCTCACTGCTACTTACTGTCCTGACCAAGGAAGACAAAGACCAGCAGTGCTCATGATACACTGAAAATGACATTGTGGCACCTCTGTCTCTAGGACAGGTCATCATTCTTTGAGCCTGGAGTTTATGTGAAATTCTACCTATAATTACTGAATATTAGACAGGCAAGTGTCTGAGATATAAAATTGGTATGGTGTGGATCATAGGGAAATTTGTGAAATTTCCCTTTCCTGATTATGTTAGATTTCTGGTTTTCCTGAGCTCAGCTGTAACATAAGTTTCCTTAATGCTAAGATATTGTCCATGGTTCCATTACACAATCCTAAGATGCTCGATTTTGTCTTTCCTATTACCATTTCTTTCCGCCTTGTTCAATGGTCAGCAGGTGAATTGCATCTTATTCTCTTGTTTCGTTGTTGAGACAAAATGCCTAACACCCAAAATTAAAGCAGGGAAGGTTTGTTGTAGCTCACAGTTTGTGGAAGTTTCAGTCCATATCTGGTGGGCAGGGTGGGCTGGGGTGGCAGAGGCGCACTGCAGAGGAGAAGCAACGTGCACCAAGCAAAAGGCGGCAAGCAGCAAATAGCAAACACCAGCAGCAGCCTTCCTCTCCCTTCATCCCATCCAGGCTGCCGGGCCTTTGTGTGATGCCACCCACACCTGGGGTGGGCCTTCGCGTTATCCACACCTAGAACGAGGCTAGCCAGTCCAATCACTGAACTAATTTAGTAATCAAGCATCCTTTACCCCATCATCACACTCTTTATCCCAGTGTGACACCACCTACCCACAGCCACCTCTGAAAAGCCCAACCTTAGACTAAATGAGGCCTTGGGGGAGGGGACTTCTAGACACAAACCATAGCAAAGGGATTAAGAAGGTCTACCATCTGCACACAATGAAGTACTATTTGGCCATAAAGATAAATTTGCATCATTTTTAAGAAAATGGATGTGTTCTGAGATTATAATATTAATAGAAATAAATCACACAAACTTAAATATCACATGGTCTGTCTTCTATGAGAAACAAGAGAAGATGAGTAAAAAAGAACACAATAAAAGATAGATAATAGGAAGGAAGTAGACCGAGTTTTTTCAAAGGAGAGTGAATGTGATCAACGGGAGCAAAGAGTGAAGAAGAGGAAGAGGGGCTAAAAGGGTATAAAAGGAAACTGGAATGTGTTACGGATATGTGCCAACTGCACATAGGGAATGTAAACAATATGTATCACAAACGTGCAGAGAAAAAGGCTGGGGACCAAGATACAGGGGGATGAGCGAAGGACAGAATGGATGGGTGATGAAATAAAGGAATTCAAATGTGTAATGTGCATATACCAACTTCCCACAGGAATGTAAACATTATGTACTACACATAATATGCTTACAAAATAAAACAAAAATGTATGTAGCATTCTCCTTTCTGTGTAACAGCGCAGCCTTTGAACTGTAGGTGAGGCATCAATATATTCCCTAATTACAGCACCATGGTGTGAACACGCATGATGTAGAACAACAGCAATTAGAGTGAAAAATGTCCATTGTAACTGCAAACAGAAGCCAGTTCACCCTTTCTGTGAGCAAGCTGGCCTGAGGGCTAGGAGACAAGAAACTGCTACAACCATACACTCAGTAAGCAACCAGCTGATTTGGAGAAATGCAGGCTGAGTTGATAGCAACCGAGGTACAAAAACAACTTAATGCATGTATCATTTGATTGACTTTGCAAACCTAAAGCCGGTAGTCTGAGCATCTATTTGGAGAATAACAATATACAATATAGCAACTATGGGAGATTTCCTCCTGTCTTGTTTCTGAAACGCAATATTGTTCTGTTTTTTCTGTTCCTTTTTATTGTTTTAATTTAGTCTATGTTCTGTTTTGATTGATTTTATTCTGTTCTGTTTTGTCTGATTTTATTATGTCTGATGATATGGGCAGCAATTTTGAAGATAATAAGAGGCATTATCGTGTCCATTGTTGATTTCCTATTCTCCTGTCTTGAAGATCTGTATCACTTTTCCCTGCTTTGCTTTGATTGGCTTTATTTTGTTTGGTTTTATTCTCTTTAAAATGAAATTTTTTTAAAAAAGTAACATTCCCATATATGAACAACTAACTATCTGAAAAGGAAATTTGGTAAACAATCCCTCTTAAAATCTTAAGAAGGTGAAAGACTTATATACTGAAAGCTACAATATATTTATTTAAAAAATTAAAGGAGACACAAATAAATGGAGAGATATCCTATGGTCATGGATTGGAAGATAGTATTATTGAAATGTTCATTCTACCCAAAATGATATGCAGATATAAAAATTCCTTCCCACAATCACAATGGTACTTGAACAGAAATAGGGAGAAAAGTATGGTCATATGGAACCATAAAAGACCACAATTGGCCAAATGAGTCTTAAGGAAAAAGCTGGAATAATACACGTCCTTATTTTAAAATATATTACTAAGCTACAGTAATTAAACACTATGGTATTGCATGGAAAATACATATTCTTTTTCCAACAAAACGGAATAACAAAGACCCACCAAATAAATCCACACAAGTTGAAGTTTGTTTATTTTTATTAGTTCATGTTTGCAGTACTAGATTTTGAGGGTTTCTTTCTTTCTTTCTTTGATACAGAGTCTCCGTGTTCAGTCCAGGGTGCCCGTGAATTGACTACATAGTCCAAACAGGTCTGATCCCTGCAGCAATCCTCCTGCCTCACTAGCTCCAGTGCTAGGATTAAAGCATGTGCCCCCACCCTGGACTCTTCATAAATTCTACATATCAGTGCTCTCTTAGGAATAGCTGTCAAAGTTTTTTTTACCATTATATAGGTTTTCTTTTCACTGTATTGATCATTTCCTTTTGCTGTGCAGAAGCATTTTATTTTGTTATGATCACATATTTTTTTCTTAGTGCTATCATCAATTGATTTGCAACTAAGCTGCCAAAAATATACAATAGAGGAAGAAAATTCTTGGCTGTATGTGGTGCTGGAAAATAGATACCCATATAATGAAGAGTGAAATTAGATTCTGATCCCACATCATAAAAAATGAACTTAAAATTGATGAGAAGCATAAATTCAAGACCTGAAATTGTAAAAATAATAAAAGAAAACATTAGAGCAAAGTTCTACACAATTAAATTTGAATAAATCATTTTACTTACTTTAAAAAATCATAATCCCCAAAGCATAAACAACAAAAGCAATAACAAAGAAATGAGACTACATCTAACTAAAAATCTATAGCACAGCCCAGACACTATGAAACACAATGGGGATCCAGGTCCAGTGGTTCACACCTGTAATCCTAGAGTTCAGGAGGCTAAGCCAGGCCCATGATGCAATTTTAAGACCATCCTGGCCTTCAAACTGAGCTTAAAATCAAACTTAATTGCATAATGACACCCTGTTGCACACAAACAAGCAATGGGGATTAGATTCATCCAAAAATTCCTAGCTGCATTAGTCCTGAGGGGAGAGTGAATCTATTCTTTGAATCACTGAATTCAGGCATCAGATTTTCCTCTCCATCAATGAAAGCCCTGGAGAGCTCAGTTTTCCAGTATAGGATTATTTTAACATAATGAATGTGCTGTTGGTTAGCATAGCTGGTTGTGTTATCTAAATCTTCTAAATAATTTGCTGCAACTTCTGGGTCAGCACATGCTCGTTCATTTTGCACTTTGATTTATAGAGATGGCTCATTTTATTAAATCTAGTGAATCAAACTCCGGTAGCTTCAATGTTTTCTGCTGAAGCTTTTCCCCCTTTTTACCAGGCTACATAGACAGAAGAGATGAATCTTTAGATGAAGAAATGTGGCTGTTTTGATCTTGTATTCAAACCTTGCAGTCTTTCTCCATATCAGAAAAAGGCTATTCTGTTTTAGCACTGAGTTCATTAGTGTTCACTTTAAATTTTCTTCAAGGCCTTTTTCTTTATGTCCGCCACATGGTTAACCAATGAAGGAAGATGACTTATTGTGGGCTATCTTGGCTTTTGGCCTGGAAAAATCTACATTTTTATTCATCACTAGAGACTTCCATCTCTTTCTTTCACTTGAAGAATTAGAAGCCACTGAATAGCTTTTAACTGACGTAACATAAACATATGGAGTCACAGGCAATAAGGAAGCAAAGAAAGAAAGAGAGATAGAAAGTGCTGGTCGTTAGTGCAGTTAGAGCACATCCACTTATGGGGTTAAGTTCACCATCTTCTATGGCTGTAGTTAGCGGCTCCTAGGCAATTACAATGGTAACATCAAAAATCACTGAGCACCATAAAATATATAATAATCCTAAAAATGTTTGAAATGTTATTAAATTATGAAAATGTGACCAAAGAAATGAAGTGAGCATATGTTGTTGGAAAACATGGCACTGATAGATTTGCTCAATGCAAGATTGTCATAAAACCCTCAGTTGGTTAAAAGTCAATGTTTTCAAAATGCAATTTAGTAAAAGATAATCTTACTTATACAGAATAATTCAAATCAGTATCTCAAAGAGATAGCACACTATCATGTTCATTATGTCACTGATCACAGTAACCAAGACATAGAAACAATTCAAATGTCTACCAAGAGAAGAACGGATAAAGAAAATGAGACATATAAACAAAACAGAACACAATTCAACCTTAGAAAAGGAGCTTGTCTAATACAAGACCACATGAATGAACGTTCAGGGCATTATATTTCATGAAATAAGGTCGCCACAGAGAGACAAATATGGCATGATTCCATCCATAAGAACTGTCCAAAATGCTCAAATATGTGCAGACTGTACAATGCTAGTACTTAGGGACTGTGGTGGGAGAAAGAAGGAGTTACTAATTAATGGGCATAATGTTCACTTGGAAAAAGTGAATAAGTTCTGGAGATTTGCTCTACAACACTGTTCGTACAGTAGATAATTATACCCTGATAAGTTTATATGTTCTCAAAGAGCATTCAACAATTAAAAAGTGTGATCAAGATGAATTCTAGAACTGAATGCTAAAGAATCTGGGATTTTCAGTAAACAGACTCAACAAAAGAAAGAATCAGTGGTCATAGGGCTAGGGATTTAGTTCAGCTGCATACCTGATTTGCAAGTGCACGGTTGTGAATTCGATCCCAGGTACTGATAAGAAAAAAAAAAAGAAATAATTAGTGATCATGAAGATAGGTCAATAGAATTCTTCCAGCACTCTCATGCACACACACACACACACACACACACACGCACGCACGCACACACACACACACACACGCACACACAGAGACACACACACATACACATACACATGCACACACACGCCAAACAAATAAAGCATGGAGAGCTGTGGAACACAAAACACTAAAAATAATTGAAGTCTCAGACTGGGCATGATGTTCCAAACACCCTCATCTGAAAGAATTATCATCTAAAACATTGTAAAATTCAATAATACAGACAACCCAATAAAAAGAAGATAAAAAATGATAATCAAACTGAACAAATTTGCAAAAGAACTACTTCATGAAAAATAGAATTAAATCCACTTCATGAAAAATAGAATTAAATCCACCAACAATGACATCCCATCAGAAAGGCCAAACTGTCAGTGTCTAACAACAGCAAACACTCACAGGTTAGTGTGGGAATTATGGATTGTTACAGCAAGTAGGCGAAATGCATGTCAGTATGCACTAAAGATAAATATGTGCATCTTACTACACAGAAGTCCACTCTTGGGCAATTCCATCATACATAGAGGAGATGAATGCTCTTTTCCTCTAAAGACACAGACAAAAGTCTTTGTAACCTTTCTATTCATAGTAGTTAGAACTTGGAGTCAAACTAAGTGTTCCTCTAAAAAACCTTTATTTGCTATCCAAAAATATTGGTTGTTACCAAAAATACAAAAGACAAATGCTAGGGGAGATGCTGAGAAAAAAGAACCTTTACACATTGATGGTAGGAAAGTATATTAATACAGTCATTATGGAAATTCCCTAAGAAAATTGAAAGTACACCTACTATGTGAAACACCAATACCACTACTGGGCATGTATCCATTGAAGATGAAACCAGTGTGTCACAGATGTGTGCAGTCCCTTCTGTGTAGATAGCATTATCCATGGTAGCCAAGAAATAGAAATAATCTGTGTTCATCACTTGATGCGTGTTCAGAGAAATGTGGTATGCATACACTTGGAAAATTTTAAAAATCAAAGTCAACAGGCAGATGGAGAAGCACCAATTAAAAATCATTTTTAAGAGCAGCAACATAATCTATGGAAAAATGAAACTCAAACTTACAATTACCTTTATACAATATGGAGAAATCTGATATTTAGTGAAATTGGTATAATATAAAGAAAAACAATCCAATTTCATAAAAATATTAAGAAAGAGATTGCTAAAATAACATCTAAGGATATACTTTAATTTAAAAGGAAGAAGTAATGCCTATTGACATGTAATTTGCAATATAATTTAATATCTTTATGAACTTAAAAATATTTATCTATAAAATAATGCTAATAAAATGTTCTCATTTTGATGAGAGAGACAGAAAATGGCACTATAACAAATTTTGTCTCTTTAGCCAATAACACTTAGTGCAATTTTAAGTTAGCATGAGAAAACTGAGTCAGTAAAAAATAATGTTATATAATGAATAAAAATATAAATGTAGAAAAATACAACTATATTCACAGTAAATTTATAAACACATTATAAAATATAATATATTTTAAATCTCATTACATTATTACTTTATTCCACTCACACCAAACTACTGTAGTATATGAATGTTGTTTATTCATTAATATATATATTAAAGATTATTAATATAGGTGCATACATTTCATAATAGCAGCAATATGTTACAGGATTGGCAAGATAAATGGGGAAGGATTTAAGTCCGATCAAGAGAAGAAATTAATAATCTATAATATAGAAGAACTTGTAACAGTAGAGTGAGTCTGTGTTTTTCTATTTCAGATCCACATTTCCTTCTCCTTGGGTGCAGGGATGACAGGGTGGCTTTATTTCAGGAGTGAAAACAAAGAATAACTAGAGATGTTTGCTTTGGCTAAGCTAGCAGCCTCTCTCTCTGAAAGGAGAAAAGAGAGCAGTCACTTACTGGTGCTCGCAATGTCATGGAACGCTCCTGATTTATTCCTAAAGCCTTCCTTGGAGTTCACTTGTCTCACGTTCTTTAACGCGTTCTCTCTCATAGTCCTCTGTGTAATGCAAGCAGCCTTGGTGGCTCCAAAATATCCTAAAACAGGGTCGACTTGGCACCAGCTGCAGGTTTGTGTGCAGGCTGCGTGTCCCTGAACAGCACTGTGGATCTGCTGCACAGAAATATGTAGCTGAGTCTTCAAGCCTGGAATCTGCAATATGCAGAGAGAGGTGCTTGGCAGCTTTGCTGAGGAAGATGGTGAATCTTCCATTTTTACTGTTTTCTGCAGTTGAACGTATAGACATCAGGAATGTGGGACCTTCAGCAGGGTATTTTTTGTACCATGCAAAATAGTCAAACAAATTATTATTATAGTCACAATTCAGAATGGAAATATTTCCTGCATCAACAGTCAGGGCTGGAGGATTTTGCATAACTTGCTGGCCATCGTTCTTCTGTTGACTATTTACCCCTGTTAGGAAAGAAAATGACAGAATTAAAATTTTACTTGTGATGTCCGTACAGAAAGCCATCAGTAGTTAGAACACAGAACCAAACATAACTCTCCAATATCTTATCCCCCGCCCCCCCTGTTGTACTTCTTGGAGTTTTCCTTATATATTCAAATAACCATTTGACAACTCACAGTCTACTTGAAGCCACAGAAGCAGCACTGAGGCCCCCAAGAGCGTGGCCATGCCTTCTGTGCAGCACCAAATGGTCCTGTCTCCTGCCCAGGCAACTGCAAGTCTGACATCAACTTCCTCTGCCTTCCTTTCCTTACACACAGATCTTTTATTTCACCAGGGAGCAGCCCTGTGTTCATCTAAAGTTACCTATGCTTAGGAAAGGAAGTGCTGCCCCCTGTAGTTGATGTGGAGAAAACTCCTGAGCTGTTTCTGTTGTTCCTGAAACTCAGTGTGAAAAATGCTCCTGCCACCAGGGAAAGCAGGCTGGCCTTTGGGGTGAGGAACTGCTGAGACTCTGCTCCTCCAGGGACATCAGTAATGAAACAGGGAGAAGTCCTGCCAATTTACAGTGTGTCTCACAATGTGATCCTAAATCACATCAGAAACAATTAGAATAAAAGGGACTTTCTCATCCTGAAAATGATAATCTCTGTAAGGACTGATAGTGGCTCAGCCTCACTGAAGCAGGAGGCTCCTCTTATGGAGGTGGAACGACAGTGAGTACTTTATGTAATAATGCAGGATTAGACTGACAGCTTTAAAGCTGAGAATAAAGTATAATGCAGGTAATATATTTTCATAAATATCTGCATGAAAAACACATTAATCTGGATTCTCATTTTGGATAAATTTATTTCCTCACATCCAACAAAAATACAGACCATAGAACACATCACTTTTATCTGTCTATTTTCTCCTACCCTCATGTTGCTAAAAAGATATTTTGGAGGGATACACTTATCCTGGTAGAATTTCTTTATTGTTCGCTCGTCTAATAGTTTCCTGCACACCACACTTTACACCTTCTATTAGTCCATGTCTGGAGTACATAATGTTTACATTCCTCGTGTGGAACTGTTACAGGTACCTAACACATCTCCATTCCTCTTTTAATCTCCTTCCCATTTGTGAGGATACATGTACTTTTTTAAAAACAGAACATTTTCTATCATTATCATTTTATATTTTTCCAGCTTATCAGTAAAGGAACAGTCCATGAAATGGAGTCTCCATGAGGTCGGTGGTATCGGGTCTTCATTGTGAGATCTGATCTCAGTTGTGAAAGGAGTCATGGAGGTGAGGATCCATGGATACTAGGTGTCCCTAACCAGTCCATCTCTGAAGCCAAGCAGCTTTAAATGCTGAATTACGGTTAAAGAGCAGATCACAGAGAAATCTCAGGAAGCTACTATTTTTCCACAGCCAGGGTTTCTAGGGACTACTATCAGACCGGTGATGGTGCTTGTTCAACAGGGTGGGTGACAGGAAGAATCAGACATGAGGTTTACACAGGAACCTGTGGAACACTTCTGTATACGTTATATTTCTCTGTCATAACCTTCAGAGAACAATGGCTATTTTACTTTTGCCTTCTACATCTCCTAGATGTTCTTTTCCAGTGATTTTAATCTGGTACTGTACAGAGAAAGAAATCCTGGCAACTTGATTACAGTTTAATGTAATGTTATCCCCTGTGTTCTATTCCCTTGTATACTGAGTTATAGCTCACTTATTCATATTTAATTTTCATATAAAATAATAATTAAATTAGGCTGCTGCCTAATTCATCTCCATGAAATTTTTTAAAAATAAACTTTTTGCTCATAAGATGGACAAAGTCCCATGTCGCTTAACATATTGTTGAGTGATTTTTGTTTTTCACTGAGTTACACTGCTACTTTGATACCTTGTAAATTTATAATGAAATATAAAGATAACAAATTTTAAAATGTAGAATGTAGGACATTGAGAGTACAGATCAAAAGAAAGAAAAATATTTTGTCATCACATGCATACAGAGAGGAGAGAGAGAGAGAGAGAGAGAGAGAGAGAGAGAGAGAGACAGACAGAGACAGAGAGAGACAGAGAGACAGAGAGACAGAGAGACAGAGAGACAGAGAGACAGAGAGACAGAGATAGAGATAGAGACACAGAGGGACAGAGCAAGAATAAATGACCATAACTGTGATAGTTCTTTCTGAACCTGGATGTACGGTTGTACTACTGTGCATAATTTCTTTATTTCATTACCTGCCCATTGTTCTTTTCGTCCTCAGTATGGTTACTCTCTTGACAATTGGAGTGGAAGGAAGTCTATCTGTAATAGTCTTAACTATTGAGTTCCTGCAGCTTTCTGTTACATTTTATCAGGATTCATGCAGACAGTTAGAGGTACCCAAACCTGCTCTCCTTCATGTCATTATATTGTAGCAATTCACTCTCCTTACAGCAGATGATTAATGTATTTATTTGCAGGTGGTTAGCTGGTAGCAGGAGTT